AGTTGGTGGAGATCAGGCCGGAAGGGATGGGACAGTTAGGGGTGATCAGGCCAGAAGGGGGTGGCAGTTGGGAGCGAGCAGGCTGCCTGGGGGGGCAGTTGGGGGCGAGCAAGCCAGCTGGGGGGGCAGTTGGGGGCAAGCAGGCCAGCAGGGAGGTGGGTAGTTGGGAGCCATCAGGCCGGCAGGGGGTGGCAGGTGGGGGCGAGCAGGCCAGCAGGGGGGGGCAGTTGGAGGCAATCAGGCCGGCATGGGGGGGGCAGTTGAGGGCTGATCAGGCCAGCAGGGGTGGGGCAGTTAGGGGTGATCAGGCCAGAAGGGGGGGGCAATCAGGCCGGCAGGCAGAGTGCTTAGGGGCGATCAGGCAAGCAGGCAGGTGAAAGTTAGGAGCCAGCGGTCCTGGATTGCAAGAGGGATGTCTGACTGCCAGTTTAGGCCCACAGGGATCGGGCCTAAACCAGCAGCCGGACATCCCCCGAGGGGTACCAGATTGGAGTGGGTGCAGGCGGGGCTGAGGGACAACCCCCTCCCCCCCGCCCGCACAAATTTCGTGCACTGGGCCACTAATTGTTAATACTTTAAAAATCTACAGCTTGATTAAGTTAAATACCTGTTCATGTGGGCGGGACCATACCCACCAATGGCATATATCATTCCATCCAGCACAGCTGCAGCAAAACAACTTCGTGTTGTAGTCATTGGTGCCACAGGTTCCCATTTTCTTAATTTGGGAATATACTTCTCTACAGACTGTAAATAAGACTGTCCATCATAACCACCTAAAGCATAAACTTCTCCTGCAAGTACTACCACTCCAAGGGTACTTCGGTGCTCATTCATTCTCTCAAGAGAAGTCCAGGTATTTGTATCAGGATTCCAGCATTCTACTGAATTTTCATGATTTCTGATAGTGAAATCAGGACACACGTCAGTTTCAATACCACCTATAACATACACTTTTTGGTCTAAAACGCATATTCCAAATTCATAGCGAGGCATGTTTAGGGGTGCCAAACCAATCCAAGAGTCATTCTGAGGAAAGTACATCTCCACACTAAAGAATAAGCAGAAACAATTACATTTTAAAAATCAAAATGGTCCATAAACAAAAACGTTTAATCTCGTTAGTAATCAGGGACATGAAATTAAAACCACATTAAACCATGACACACTTTCCAGACTGGGAAAAATTTAAAGTCAGATAATAACTACTGACAAGGATGTGGAGCAAGGAATAAATACTGTTGGTGAGAGTGTAAACTGGCAAAACTACCCTGGAAAATGACTTCACATTTTCTGGTAAATTTGAAGATATATATACATGCCTGACAGCAGTTTCATTCCTGTATATGTATTCTATTGAATGCATATTACAGTTTTACACCAGGTCACATATACAGAAATGTTCATAGCAGCACAACACAATCATCCATCAAAAGAAGAATCTATATAGTAAAAGCCTAAGTGACCATTACAGCGGAACAACCAGAACGACTGGTTGCTATGATGCGCACTGACTACCAGGGGGCTGACGTTCAATGCAGGAGCTTCCCCCTGGTGGTCAGTGCGCTCCCACAGGGGGCGCACTGCTCAGCCAGAAGCCGGGCTCATGGCTGGAGAGTGCAGTGGCGGTGGCGGGAGCCTCTCCTGCCTCTGGGGCAGCGCTAAGGAGCAAGCTGAGCAGTAAGGAGCAGTGAGCAGGTGGGTGGTAAGGAGTGAGGGCTCCTGGACTGAGAGAGGGCATAGGCCAGGCTGAGGGACCTCCCCCTAAGTGCATGTATTTCATGCACTGGGCCTCTATCTATATAATAAAAGCCTAAGTGACCATTACGGCAGAATGACCAGAACAACCGGTCGCTACAATGCGCACTGACCACCAGGGGGCTGACGCTCAAGACAGGAACTGCCCCCTAGTAGTCAGTGTGCTCCCACAGGGGGGGCACCGCTAAGTCAGAAGCCGGGCTTATGGCTAGCGAGCGCAGTGGTGGTGGCAGGAGCCTCTCCTGCCTCTGGGGCAGCGCTAAGGAGCAGCAAGCTGAGTGGTAAGGAGCAGTGAGCAGGTGGGTAGTAAGGAGCGAGGGCTCCTGAACTGCGAGAGGGCACAGGCCAGGCTGAGGGACCCCCCCCCCAAGTGCATGAATTTCGTGCACTGGGCCTCTAGTGAATAAATAAGATGGTATATCCACCCTATGACTGAGCAATTCCATTCCTAGATATACTAGTATACCTAAGAGAAAAGTACACATATATACATGTACAAGGATGTCACAGATGCATTATTTGTAATAGTTAAAAACTGGATGTTTTTAAATGTTCCAAATGTTCATCAACAAAAAAATGGATAAATTGCGGCATATTATACAAGAGGATACTACAAAGCAATGAAATGAACAAACTATAGATACATGCAACAGGGATGGATCTTACACATATAACATTGAGGGAAAGAAGCCAATATTGAGAAAATTATATTCTGTATAGTTTCAGTCATATGAAGTTCAAAAACATTTCTAACCTTTGGATTAAAAATGAGGATAGTGGTGACCTTTGGGGAAGACAGGGAGGGAACTCAAGGATGGTTTCTGGGTTTTAGTCATGTTTCCTATTTCTTAATCTGTTTTGTTATGTTCACTTTGTGATAATTCTAAGCTGTACACTTAGAATTTGTGAACTTTTCTGCATGTGTGTAGCATTTCAATTTATTTTTATAATTAACATGTTCATTGTAGAAAGTATTGTATTATATCCACATAATACCGCACACCAATGGAACTAAATAAACTATTTCCTCATGCAGTCTCTCATGCTTTCATAAACTTACTGCTGAGCAAGAAAACACATATCTGAAAAATATATATAGTACTACTTCATTTATATAAAAATGTATAGCCCTGGCCATTATGGCTCAGTTGGCTGGGCGTCATCCTGTGCACCAGGAGGTTGCCAGATGGAATCCCAGTCAAGGGCACATGCCTGGGTTGTGGGCTCAATCCCTGGTAGGGGGATGCAAGAGGCAGCCAATCAATGTTGCACTCTCACGTCGATGTTTCTCCCTCTCCTTTCCTCACTCCCTAAAAATCAATAAATTATTCTTTAAAAAAAAAAAAAAGAAGAAAAGGTGTAAAAACTAACGATATATTGGGGCACATAAAAGATACGGCAAAATTTTAACACAAAGGAATAATGCACAGAAAATTCAGAATAGTGCTTCAGTTGATTGAACATCATCCTGTGCATCCCTGTGCACCGAAAAGTTGCTGGTTCAATTTCTGATCAGCCTGGTTGATGTTTCTTTCTCACATCAATGTTTCTCTCTCTCTCTCCCCCCTTCCTCTCTCTAAAATCAATAAAAAGATATTTTTAAAAGATACAGAATATATCAGTTGACATTGATAAAACACCCTACCATTGAGGCAGGGAAAGCAATCTACCAAATTTTTGGAAATAGCCAGAAAGAAATCCACAGTATTGAAGAAATATATCAAACACAAAAGTTTTCATGAAGCAATCCCCTTTAAGGGAAAAGCAAAGATAACATCCAGTTATATTTTCAATATATAAAAGTTATTTGTATAATGCTCTAAATCAGGGATTGGCAAATAACAGTTATGGGCCAAATTCAGCTCAATACTTTTGTAAATAAAGTTTTATTGGAACCAAGCTATGCTAATTCATTTATGTACTGTCTATGACTTCTCTCACACATGGCAGAGCTGAGTAGTTATAACAGAGACCATATGGCCACAAAGTCTAAAATATTTATTTGGCTCTTCATAGAAATAGTCTGACAACTCCAAGTTATTAGAAAAGAAAGCACTTTTTACTACTGTCACTACAAAAATTTACATTGAAGAAAATAAATTGCATATAAAGTCCATGATTTGTATCAATATCCTACTTTTTCTTATTTCTTTAGTGGTTCTTCTAATTAACTGAATTCATTCAAACCCAATGTTGGCCCTAAGTCTCCATCAGATTTCTAGCTCTCCTCTTTAGCACCTTCTGATATAGCTAGCAATAATAAATCCCTCTGACCCAGTGTGACTCTAATAAAGACACAAATGGTTTCACAAATAAAAAAGACATAAAATAGAAAAGTTAGTAAGTACCCAGAAGAGATGAAGTTTGTACACTGCAAGTTGGGGTGTTAATAATTGAGTGTTGTAGAGAATAACAATGTCATTAAAACAATCAGGTAAGTGTTTAGGAAGAAGAGAAAAAAGAAGCAAATTTTTAAAAAATAAGAAAATCAAACTATTTTAAAATTATGGAAAGCACATTTAGAAAGTATAAAATCTATTAATATCAATCCTTCTATTTACCTATCCAAAGAGGCAAACAGTCCAGATTTTCCTCCTACTGCACAAAGTACTTTGGGAGCACAGCGAGGTCGTGTCATCAAGACTGTCTGATGAGAGAGTCTATGTTCAGGCATAAAGTGGTACTTTAGGGCTTCATTCAAAAGATGTTTACAAGTACGGTCATCACGAATAAGATGATTTGCTTCATATAATCTAGTGAGAAACTTAACACTTAGCAATGGTAATCGCACACTGTTAAGTAGCTGTGCTAAGTATTTCTGGCGTTCTTGTACATCATAATTGATCCAAGATTCAAGTGCATAAAAAACAGTCTCTTCGGTAGCTACATTCAAACAGTCATTGGAAACAATTTCATCCAAATCAGCATGTGTAAGCTCAAAAAATTCTTCAGTCTGGCAAACAGCTTCAAAATTCTGGCATATATATTTAGTGGCTGCCAAATAAAGGTCATGACAACCATACGTCTCTGCAAAACGAGAAATTCCAATACAATTACCAGGGTCAAGTTGGCTTTCAAGAAATGCACAACATTCTTTCAGGACAAGTTTTATCTGGAGTAGGTTTGCTGCTGGAAGGAGAGATTCCACTGTGTCCTGTGAAATAAAAATAGTCCCTGTGTAGGCATATTCCACAATAGCCTGGAGAGCAGTTTCATCAATGCACTGAAACTCAACCTCACTGTTCTCTTTTTCAGAAAGATTTCCAGTAAACATAGCTTTGAAATATGGGCTGATGCTGGCAAGTACCACTTTGTGAGCATGAATTTTAACATCACCTACTCGAAGAATGATGTCACAGAGTTCATGATGTTGACGAAGAAGATTCAGACCCTGCAGAAGTTGTTCAGAATGTAAGTGTGTTAAGTTAGCAAGCATGTAGGTCGGGGATGTATGGTCCATCTACAGAAAAACAAAAAGCACAAACAGTTAATTCAAAATAATCTTGCCAATATGATATCTTTTCCTAATAGTACAAAATAAATAAAATTTGTTGTTTGTTGTATTTTACATACATTATGCTAAATACCAGACAGAGGCTTTTAAAAAAATATATTTTTATTGATTTCAAAGAGGAAGGAGGAGAAAGAGATAGAAACATCAATGATAAGAGAGAATCATTGATTAGCTGCCTCCTGCACACCCTCTACTGGGGATCAAGTCTGCAATTTGGACATGTGCCCTGACCAGGAATCAAACTGTGACCTCCTGGTTCATAGGTTGATGCTCAACCATTGAATCACACCAGCCAGGCAACAGAGGCTTTTAAAGTTAAAAGGGATATAACCAGTCATATAATTCAACTCCTTCAACATAGATATTAAGAAACAGAGGCCTGCCCTAGCCAGTTTGGCTCAGTGGATAGAGTGTTAGCCTACGGACTGAAGGGTCCTAGGTTCGATTCTGGTCAAGAGCACATGCCAGGGTTGCGGGCTCAATCCCCAGTAGGGGGTGTGCAGGAGGCAGCCGATCAATGATTCTCTATCATCATTGATGTTTCTCTCTCTCTCTTCCTCTCTGAAATCAATTTTTAAAAAAAGGAAAAAGAAACAGAGGCCCAAAGATTATGAGTTTATGCCCCAAACCACAAAGGTCTCTTGACAATTGACTTTTGGATCACAATTCTGCCAACACTTCTATTTACCTTCATTAAATTAAAGTCTGAGCTATCACTGAGATACACCAGGCAGGGCTACTCAACTCTTGATCACAACTTCAGATCATATCCACTCAATCTGTGCTTCTGAAAGATGAAGAAAAAAAAATCGGAGAGAAGAAAAGAGATGAAGAAAAAAAAAAGAAGAAAAAGTGAAAGGCAATAAGGACTGTGGTAGATTAAATAATGGCTCCCTAAGAAGACATCCACATCCTAATCCCTGGAACTTTTGAAGGTTACTTTCCATGGCAATAAAAGGCTTTGCAGGTATGATTAAGGATTCTGAAAAGGGAAGATTATCCTGGTGGGCCCTAAATATAATCACAGGTTTATTATAAGATTTGACACAGGCAAAAGAGAAGGTAATGTGGCTACAGAGACAGAGATTACAGTGATGAAGCCACAAACCAAGTAATACTGGCAGCCACCAGAAGCTGGAAAAAGCAAGGAACAAATTCTCCCCTAGAGCCTCCAGAGGGAGTACAGCCCTGCCAACACCTTAATTTCAGCCCAGATATATTAATTTCAGATGTTTGGCCTTCAGAACTGTAAGAGAATAAATTTCTGGTTTTTTAATCAACTGAGTTTGTAGTAGTTTGTTACGTCAGCCATAACAAATTAATATATAGATGCTAAGATAGCTCATTTGGTTAGAGCATCGTCCCCATAGCCAAGGTTACGGATTCAATCCCAGTCAGGGCACATACAAGAAACAACTAATGAATGCATAAATAAGTAGGACAACAAATTGATGTTTCTCTCTTCTCTCTCTCTCTCTGAATTCAATCAATAAATATTTTTTTTAAAAAAAGGGGGGTAGAATCATTTTAAAAAAAATTAGCCTAGATGTTTTGGTTCAGTGGATAGAGCATTGGCCTGTGGATTGAAGCGTCCCGGGTTTGATTTTGGTCAAGGGCACATGCCCGGTTGTGTGCTCGATACCAGGTGGGAAGTATGCAGGAGGAGACCGATCGATGATTCTCTCTCATCACTGATGTCTCTATCTCTCTCTCTCTTCCTCTCCTTCCTCTCTGATATCAATAAAAATATATTTAAAATAAATAAATAAAAATTTTAAAAAAGAAATTAGTGCAGTTGGTGTAGCTCAGTTGGTTGAGTGTTACCCCATGCACCAAAAAGTTGCTGGTTCGATTCCGGGTTGGGGCACATACCTGGGTTGTGGGTTCAATCTCTGGTCGGAGCATGTACGGAAGGCAACGAATGATGTGTCTCTTTCTCTCACGTTGATGTTTCTCTCTTTCTCACACTCTCTCTCTCTTCCTCTCTTTCTTTCTCTGAGCATGTCCTTGGGTGAGGATTAAAAAAGAAAATTAGCTGGGCTGGCATGGCTCAGTGGTTGAGCATTGACCCATGAACCAGGAAGTCACGGTGTGATTCCTGGTCAGGACAACTGGGCACATGCACAGTGTTCGGGCTCTATTCCCAGTGGGGGGTCTGCGGGGGGCAGCCAATCAATGATTCTCTCTCATCATTGATGTTTCTATCTCTCCCTCTCTCTTCCTCTTTGAAGTCAATACAACTATATTTTAAAAATTAATACATAAATACTTCAAACTAGATCATAGCTGTTTATAATGCATAAAACATAAAACACCTATACAATATAAACTGCTTCCTTTCTGTCTCATTCACATCTCAAACACAAGTTATGAAAATAAAAAAATATATGATTTAGTTCCTATTTTATTTTATTTATTTATTTTTTTTAAATATATTTTATTGATTTTTCACAGAGAGGAAGGGAGAGGGATAGAGAGTTAGAAACATCGATGAGAGAGAAACATCGACCAGCTGCCTCCTGCACATCTCCCACTGGGGATGTGCCCGCAACCCAGGTACATGCCCTTGACCGGAATCGAACCTGGGACCCTTCAGTCCGCAGGCCGACGCTCTATCCACTGAGCCAAACCGGTCTCGGCAAGTTCCTATTTTAAAAGTACTATCAATAAATTAAAATTCCCAACACTATTAAATAATATAAATATTGGTAAAAGTGAGTACAGCACTTCATTCCTGTGCATTTTTTTATCCTCAACCGAGGATGTTTACTGATTTGAGAGAGAGAGGAAGGGAGAGAGAAAAAGAGAGAGAGACAGAAACATTACTGTTTGAGAGAAACATTGGTCAGTTGCCTCCTGTACATGCCCCAACCAGTTACCCCTGGTCAACCATGGTCTGAAAATACTAAATGGAAAATTCCAGAGAAAAAACGTCGCAAGTTTTAACTTGCTTGCTGTTCTGAGTAGCATAATAAAATCTTGGCCTGTCCTGCTCCAGCCCACCTGGAACATGAGTCATCCCTTTGTCCAGTGTATCCACTGTATACACTGCCTGCCCATTCGCCACTTAGTAGCTATCTCAGTTACAATCAGCTGTCATGGCACTGCAGTACTTGTGGTCAAGTAACATTTATTTTACTTAATAATGGCCCCAAACTGTAAGAGTAGTGATGTTGGCAATTTAGATATGCCAAGAAAGCCATAAAGTGCTTTCTTTAAGTGAAAAGATGAGAATTTCGACTTAATAAGGGGAAAACAATCAGATGTAAGGTTGCTAAGATCTACAGTAAGAACGAATCTTCTATCTGTGAAATTGTAACAAAGGAGAAAGAAATTTGTCCTAGTTTTGCAGATGACATGAAGCTGCAAAGTACAGTGAAAACACTGGATAATAAAACAAGGATCCAAAAGAACTGACATCTAACAAGAAGTTTCATAGGAATAAATGCTAAGATTCTATAGTGAATTCCAAAACAGCTATACAAGTATAGAATAAGAGAGAAAAAACTCATCTTTAGGATGTCTTTAGAGGGCTTAAGGATTTTAATTTTAGTACTACTTTAGTACACTAAGTTTATGTAAGTTTAAGCTGCATCAACAGAATTATAATATACAGACTTAGCACATTCTTTCTTTGCTCTGAAAATATCAGAACACATCTAGAGTACAGATTTGGGGTACCATCCTATAAAAGGAAGCTAAACAAAGTCTAGTACAGGGGTGGGCAAACTTTTTGACTTGAGGGCCACAATGGGTTCTTAAACTGGACCGGAGGGCCGGAACAAAAGCATGGATGGAGTGTTTGTGTGAACTAATATAAATTCAAAGTAAACATCATTACATAAAAGGGTACGGTCTTTTTTTTTTTTAGTTTTATTCATTTCAAACGGGCCGGATCCGGCCCATGGGCCGTAGTTTGCCCACGGCTGGTCTAGTACCTGATGAGGAGAAAAAAATTCAAATTATGTGTAATGGGTAATGAAACTGAGGACAATAAGTCTGAAAAAAAAAGGATAACTGAGGATATCATGTGAAAAACCAAGGGATAAAAAGTTAATAATAACAATATAATAGAAATAGAGCCTATCACTTAGTAAGCTCTTGATAAATATTATCTTTTTTAGCAGTAAGTTATCTTATTACTAGTAAATTTTTTAAGTTATCTGCTTAAAAAGTATTCTGCTTTCTATGTTGTATCATCTCTCATTACTAGAAAAGAAATCCACCTTGTACCATTAACATTCTAGGCCACACGAAGTATTGCAGAATTGATGATTCTTACATGAAGTTAATGAGTTATTGGTTAGATTCATTTTTAATATAAATAGGAAACACAGTGACAGATCCTTAAGTAGATTTTTGTGTATCCAGTTCAAGACTGGTAAATTGCCATTAATATAGGATATCCTATATAATAAAAGCCGAATATGCAAATTGTCCCCTCGACCAGGAGTTCAACCAGGAGTTCGACTGCTCGCTATGACGTGCGCTGACTACCCGGGGGTGGCACAGAACATGGCGCTGGCAGCGGGCGGCAGTGGAGGCACTGCCAGCCCCGATGGGAGCAGGACCGTTGAGGGATGGTGGAGTAGGTGAGCAGGTGGTGCCAGGCCAAGGCGGGTACAAGGGCCTGATCACCCCACCGATGGCGATCAGGGGTGAGAGCGGGGGGCGGGGCCACCACCCGGCTCCCAGGAGCTGAGGGAGCTGGGTGGGGGACCTGGCCATGACCGATCATCCCACAGACAGCAACCAGCAGCCAGCAGGCCCTGATCGGCCAACTGGGGCTGGGCCCCGGGCTAGGACAGGGAACTGGGGGTGGGTGGCAGCGACCAACCTCCTGTGGCACCCGGGCACGTGGCTGCGACCTCTTGCCGGCTATCTTGGGGGTGACAGGGATGGAGGTGCAATGAGAATGTGGGGTGTTTGCCGAGCTCACTCACACT